TTTGCCCGAGTGGAATCCCCCCTTTCGCCCCATCATGCTCCTCTTCAAGTCAACTGAGTGTATGCGATGCACGCCTGGCGCTCCGCTCCTCCTCCCTGAAACGGGTTGGGGTCTGYTGTGTACGCCTTGCTCGCCTCTGGATACTGTCCCGCCTGTTCCCCTTGGCTTTCCCGTRGTCTGCCCTATATCCTGTCTCGGTCCGAGCTCCCACGAGCTCATTCCTGGCCCTCAGCTTGACCTGTTCATTGCTGAGGGTTAGCACTCTTTGTACCTCTAGTACCAGGCCCAACACCCGGGCTATAACCGGACTGCAGTCGCTGGTCATGGGTTACTGGAAACCCAGGGTCCACAGGTCTACAACARCGAGGGTACGGACACTGTCCATGGATACCCAGCAATACCTGCGGCAGCACCGGGAACTCATACCTCCGGTCCTAAGGCCTCARCCAAAAATAGCGGAGTGGCACACCGCAGCAGCCTGCACCGTTACCGTACCGATGACGAACTCGAAATAAACATCGAGGTCTACTATAATTTGCACCGTGTCGAGGATGGTTCAATACTGAACCTGTAGTACCGTTGCTGAGACAATATCTGAAAATAATGCAGTGGCGTGTACCATACCGTTGCCGAACCAATACGGAGCCTGAAAATGTTGATACCRTGCAATGCCGYGGCCCCTCGGGAGTATCAAACCATTACCATGCCAATACCGAACCTGAATAGTCTGCACCATTCCGGCGTCGAGTCTGTCCCGATCCTGAAAACTAATGCCAGTCCKCTGTATCGTGTCAACGCCGGACCGTGCCGCCATGTCATAATAGTCCCGAACCTGCCCCAAGCCTGACTGTCGGGCCCGAACCAAACCAGCAACCGCACAAAGTATAGTAAAGCCACACGATCCATCTCAAAATAATCCCAGTAACGATACTGCGTTGATCATCAAACGCACACCCACTCGTATCACACAGGTTGCAGCGAGGCTAWGTCAGGTAACTCACGCAAACGATCSCGATTACCGGGAATTAGAGAAAATCGTTAGATTTAGAGTAAACAAATAATCCGGGGGTAAATCCGATCGCAAATAATCTGATCAAAATTCAGTCGATTATTTAATAATCGTTGGTTTTCTTCCTTTTCATCATTTTTAATTATTTTTCTCATTTTTTATTTTAATATTAAAATTAATGAAACCCGAGGCTTCATTTCCGTGCCAGTTGCGCAGCATAAAAAGGACCACGCCTAGGCCTATTCTCATATCACCGTTCTGCGGCCAGTTGTTTCGGAAACAAGCTCGGAGCGGCGGAAATAAGATAGACGCCAGCGCGGTAGAAGAGGTAGTCTCTCTCGCCAATTCTGAGGGCTAGTCTCACCGATCGACGCCTCCAATCTTAGGGGTGCTCTGGGTCCCCCTAATTTTGCTGCCTGGTCAAACCAGAATACCGTCATTGCACGGACTTGTCCTTGTGCCTAAGTTCCAAAACTGCCACTTTCAGGCGGCGCACTACTTGTGGCCGCCTGACAACGGAGGGGGATAGCAACAGGACATGAGCGGGACTGCACTAAACACGACGGACAGGTACTCATTGCATGTGGTAGGGAGACTGGACGGACCGTTGGTATTAGTGATCGCAGAGCTGCAGCTCCATACCAGGTTGTGCATAGTTGAGGAGGCAGAGTGTGTTCGCCGTGAGCTGCGAGAGGCTAGGGGAACAGGACTTTGGATTGGAGTGGAAGGAGGACGGAGGATAAAGTACGTACTACGCACGACACCATTCGATGGGCGACCTCTGATAAGGGCGTGGTACGAGACGCCTAGAGAGACTGAGAGGTTAAAGATGAGCGAAGCCAGGAGGACTGGGGAGCTAGGGAGAGTTGTAGTAGATGAAGCGATACTCAGGGTGCTACCTGCTCACGACCGATACTGGAGGGAATCGATAAAAACTTTAGAGGCCATAGAGGATAATGGAGATAAGGAGGATTTTGAGACGTTCTATGAAATATTGAAGTTGTCTGCGATGAGATTACGAGCAGCTATAGCACTGACTTTCCTCAGATGCTAGACAAATGGTCTTGAAGCTGTCTTGGAGTTAGAGGATGAGAAATAAAAATTGTAAGCTCTTGGAAAGATAGTGGAGGTTAGTGAGGTCAGATGGGCGGCTTTAGATGGCAGTAGGAGGAGAGTTTACTCCGTTTGCGGGCTACCCGATTCAGGACGGACTAGATGATTTAGTGAGGAGGACGGAGATAGACGCTCGAGGACTCTTGAGGGATGCCAGTCAGGAGAGATTGGTTAGGCTTGGGACTGCGATCTGCAGCAGGTGTAGAGATCCTGTCACGGGTGTAGTGCAGATCAGGAGAGGCACGATCTTGTTGGCAGATCCCGAAGGAGAGGTTTACATAGACACAGAGATTCTTGGGATAGAAGGTGAGCACGAGGTCCGCGACCGGAACGGAGTACTGGTGGCGGTAATTAGGGCAGTCGAGAGCTAGGATTGGAGACGAGCGCGAACCGTGAAAAGTAAACAGGTCCGGGCTGCGAGTTCTGTCACAGGTCCGGGCTGCTGCAACTGTCATAGGTCCGGGATGTAATGCCTGGCGTAAGTGCCCGACTACAACTTCTGGTAGCCTATGGAACCAGACACGATGGGGCCACAACCGACCACGGGCGAAGCAGGAGAGGAGTACAGGACATCGCCCGACCGAGCACTGAGGGATCTGAAGGAACGAATTAGGCAGGGAGCACCGCTGAGATGGGTTGACCAAACCAATGACAGAGAACCCGGCGTAATGGGCGAGCCGATCGTGACAGAGCCGCAGGAGACTTTGAAGACTGGAACTACGAGCGCTCTACGAGAAGCGACGACACGACGCTCCCCCAAGTATGAACGGAGGGAAACCAGGGCGGATAGACGCAGGGACAACTGGAGAGAGAGAGTCCACGAGATTCCTATTGGAGGGACAGAGACAGGGATAGAGCACCACCCCGGCGTGTCTTCGACCCCCAGACGGGGGAGTCACATCCGCTCCCTTACGAGAGCAAGGATCGCTATATTATTACGCACAAGGCCTCTGAGCCTCCTACTTTCAGGGGCTATGGTATCACAGAATATCTGGAGAAGTGGGAGCTTCATGCCAGCCGGAGTCAGTGGTCGGAGGAAGAGGTTATAGAGAACTTCCTATTTAATGTGGATCCAAGTCTCGGCAAGGAAGTTAAGGAAGCCCGACCGAAGGCTGGGAAATGGACTACGTATAAGAAGAACCTCATTGAGCTTTACAAATTAGAAGATAACAAGTACCCCATCAAGGACCTTGAGACTATGACTCAAGATGAGGACGAGAGTGTACGGGCATCCGGGAAGCGTTTCTAAAAGATCTCTGACGTGCTAATGAAGAAGGGAAATATCTCAGAGGTCGAGCGCTGTACTATCTTCATCTGTCCAAAGGTTGAAAAAAGAGTATACTTAGAGATCTCCCGCGCGACAAACTTGATTTCCCTGAAGTCCTAAAGCTCGCGATAAAGGCAGAGGCAGACGACTACAAGGACTTGGTATGAAGTGGAATGAGGAGACGTGACTTCTCTCTCTATAAGGAGTATGTCACTGATAGGTGTTCTGATTTCAAAGACTACCCCTGGTCGGAGAAGAATGAAGCCGTGGCCGAGGAAGTAAAGGAGATAAGGGACATGGTAAAGGGATTGACGAAACAGGTTACAGAGATTGTAACCAGCACAGGAGCCACGACTTACCGGGACAAACCCGGAGGGCCCTATTCACTTCGCTGGGACCGTAGGAACACCGATTCTTGGAGGAGTGTCGAGGATAGAAATCGTCGAACGCTAACTGATTATCGTGCGAGGGAAAGGGAAAGAGACGATGAGCCATGGCGACGTAGGGATGATGAGATAGACCGGGACCGCAGGGCTCGCGAGACATATGGACGAGCTAGGAGACTGGATGATTACTCGCGTAGCCCTCGTTATGAGGCTGATGGGGGTAGAGGCGACTCTCGAGGTAGGTGGGGAGTCGGATCAGGGCCGACGAGACAGATACAAGGACGACAGATATGAGAGGTCGGACCGAGCTGGATACAGGGGTGGCAGATATGAGAGAGGAGATCGAGACGGAGACCGATGAGATGATACGCGCGACGATTCGCGGGGGTGGTACGACCGAGGGGATCGACGCGATGAGTCACGCGGGCGATACGACCATGGAGACCGCCGAAATGATTCACGAGGACGATATGAGCGAGGAGGATCTGGAGGAGACCGCCACAATGATTTGCGCGGCCGGAATGAGAGAGGGGGATATGGCGCGCCATCTGATCCGTATCCAAAGTCCCTTGACCCCAGAGCAGCGAGGGGTTCGACCTCTAGGAGCGCAAACGACAGGCCACCCACTCCCAGGAACTCCTGCGTTTACTGTAGAGGAGATGATCATATCAAGAGAGACTGCCCGGATCTCAAACGAGCACTAGATGAGGGACTTGTCATGCTTGATGACCGCAAGTACGTCAAGTGGGCAGATGATCTGGGAGACGTATCAATGTTCCCTTCGATGAAGGAGAATGTGGAAGCAAGGAGAGTGAAGTCGAGTAAAGGAAAGGAGCCGATTACGAGCTAGAGCATCAAGATAACTTTCGAAGGAGATATGGCAACTACACCCATAAGGGTGGCAGCTACCAAGTCGGTGAGAGGATCTACATCGAGGAAGACTGGCACGGATTACGTGATGGCGGAGAAGGACGGACAACGGATCGATGGAGAGGAGGTTATTCTTTCACCGCGAAAACGGGGAGTGAAGAAGTTCTTGATGAAGAGTTCGTTGGATGATATTGACACAGTCGAGTCCCTGAGACGGGCCCTTCGACAGCCCATGCAGTGCTCTATTCTCGAATATCTAGTAGCATCCAATCCGGATCGCGACGAGTTACAGATGATCACGCAGAAGACTCGCATACCACTATCAGAGGAGGCTCAGGTGGCCCCTAAGGCGGATGCTCCTACTGTAACAATATCGGAGGTGACTGCAAGAGCAGATCGCATGGCGACAGTCCTTCGTGATGGGATGGAAGGTGTGCCTCCAGACAAGTTTTACATACTCGGAAGTGGGACCGTGGAGGCGATCCTAAACGACGGGGCGGTTCTAGATGCTGTGATCGATAACGGCAGTGAGGCTGTCATTATAGACGAGGATCTGGCAGAGCAAGTTGGACTGTGACTCGATAGATCATACCTATTCGAGATAGAGACGGCTGATGGGAGAAAGCAACAGATCATAAGGGTTTGTCACAAGGCAGCCATAGAGGTCCAAGGGGTATGAGTGACCCTGCCACTCTTTGCAGTCAAGAACTGCAGCTCTGACCTACTCTTGGGACGGACGTGGTTGAGCCATGTGCACGCGGTGACGATAGAGCAACCGGACGGAAGCCAGACACTGTCCATTAAGAAGCTAGATGGGATGCGGGTTATGATTGAGACGGTGGAGCCTCGAGACCCGAGGAACAGAGCAGCTCTCGCTGTAGGAGCGGGACCCAGTGATCGGATTAAGTCTTTACCTATCTCCGGCCGCGCGGTGCGATTTCGCGAGAAGAAGTATGGACCTCTGCTCACAGAAGAAGAAGGCCGGATTGTAGAAGTGGAAGATTTAGGGAGTCGGCTGATAGTGGACGGCAACTCGTATCCGAAGGAGGCAGATGAGGAGATTGGCGGCGTGGTATCTGTGTCTTTTTCAAGGGCACGGCCCCCTATGGGGGGCTATCCAAGCGACACAAGCGAGTAGCTCAGAAAGTTAAGCCAGCGGCGGTGGGCCGCGAGCGATCTGTACTGGAAGGGATATCGGAAGAAGGGATCGCAAAGGAAATCAAAGAAAGAAAGAAAAAGGAGCCGCAATGCCTAACGGAAGAGAGGATAGCAGGGATGGACATCGGAGATGGAAATCTAATCCCAAAGGAGCGGAAACGCGTGATAGAAATCTTAAAGACGTGCGACAAGTCTATAGCCAGGGTTGTCGAGCCCGGGCCCCGGGGCCCCGGCGGAGTTCCGGGGTTCCGGGGGTTGGCACCCCCAACCCCGGCTCCAGACCCCCCCGCAAAAAAAAAAAATTCAAAAAAAAAAAAACAAATTCAAAAAAAAAAAAAAAAAATAGTGGGGGGTGCGCAGCGAAAGCGCGCACCACATGGGCTAAACCCCAAAAATGGGGTTTTATGCCCCACCCCGGACCCCCCCCGGGGCCACAC